CTAATTTAACGAATTTATACGAATTCTTAACTAAAACTTTCCACGTATCGGCGATTTGCTTAACCAGTTACAAATAAATCGTGATATTTAATATATCACACTTCCCTTATTATTCATAATTATTCTAAGTGGACTCCATTTTTATGTATTTTGAGCAGATCATGTGCATTCGGAGGGTTTGCATCTCGTTGAAGAAGAGTCTACATCTTCTATTTCTCCCGTTTTCCCTTTGTTACACAATGCTGCAGACAACCGCTGAGTCCAAAAATAAGTGTTTCTGTAGCGGCCCTAGTGATTGTCTTGTATGTGGTGATGTCATCAAAAGCCTGCAGCATGTTTTCTACATATTTCAACCTAGCCATAACTACAATTGCTCTTCCTTCGTCCTTAATATGTTTTTCATTCTCTTATTTCTGGGTGATATTTCTGCATGGGTGTAATTTAATGCCACTCTTGGTCTCTTCTGGAAGATGGTCGGTGAAATTTGTGATTTCCACTAGTACCACCTCTCTAGTGCCCCTGATGACAAAACAATCTGCAATTGTGCGTGGGTCGCAAAATCGGGACTGGTCAAACACATCGCTTAAACTGCTAAACGTTTAGTTTGGTATGGGGACTATGCTGACCGGTAATCGAAAGATTGTGGAAGCGATCGAAATCAAGAAAGCAGCCAAAATTCTGAATAGAATGAATGAGTGTATGAAGTTATGTGGAATCCACTTGTGGCTGTCGGATGGGGTTAGAGAGAAAGTGAGAGGAGGAAACAAAAAGTACAACTGAGCAAAAGCAGGAGGCTTGATTAGGCTCGAAACTGGTTTTTGGCTCTCACATCACGCTCATTTCAAGAGCAATGCATTCACACGACATGCGTGCAATGGAATGCAGTCGCATGTGGCAACACTGCCAGATCAAAGGTATCAGTGATTTATGGTGGGGGAGGGATACATTCGCTTCATTTGCAGCCACTTACCTTAAATTCTCAGCAAACATTTAGCCAAAGCATAGTATATCCAAGAAAAGCATGAGATGTCTAAGTAAATGGACCAAATTGGACTATGGGAAGTAGTTGAGCTTGAAGTCGGCTTTTGTGAATTGTCGTAAAGCATGTTGTCCTTCTCTGACGATGTCCGTCACATGACGGACGAAAACTCAGCAAGGATTTATCGGTATAACAGGTCAGAGCACCGAGGGCCTACTCGCACAAATCTACAATCACAGCTCCAAGGCAATCTCAGTTTTCCTACGATCCCCCCATAATTTCCGGTAAGGCCAACTTACAAATCATTTCCATTATTCTTTTCAGACGACATGAAAGTTATTCCAATAACAATCTATTAAAGGATTCTTCGAAACTCAATTTTTCTACATTTTTGCTTTGTCTCAACCTTTCATATTTTATCCACCTATTTATGCATACCTTTTCCTTTTTGTACATTAAAAAATAGCATCTTAATGCTGTGATATCTTATTAAATGGCAATCTCTTTTTTTAATACTGTACTAGTTGGCTCAGGGCCAGAAAAAAGGGGCACATAACTCAAGCAAATGGAACCAGATCCATCTAGCTGACAAGGCTCTTTGAAACCAAGATTTATTCTTGCACTCATCGTTTATCCAATTAATTCAAGTATATTTTTTCCTAAACTCTGAGCAAAACACAATCTCATAGATTAACTTTGTACTTACTTATACTTATCAGCATCAAAAGTAAAAACACACGATCTTCTCTGCTTACCTTTTACCTATTATAATCTCAGAAGGCTGAGATATTGCTACCTTCAGAGCTTGCTTTCCCATTTACAAAAGCATGTTAGGCAGACGCTAAATTGACCAATTAATACATCAGGCATAGCAATGGGACCCCAAAATGAGTTAATTAGATAAACTTACAGCGTAATAGCACTCACCGATTAGGGTTTGGTGAGGTTTGCTAAACAATCAGTTTACGCTTTGACGATTATGGTCTAATGACAAATGAAAGGTAAACAAACTACTCAGGTTAGGGGGACAATCAAATCGACAATCAGAAATTCAAGGAAATCACCCATCGGTTTCTAGCAGGGCAAATTTGCCTTTAATGTGAAAGGAAATGCCCAGTGACCTAATAGCTTTAAATAATTTTTATGAATCCTACTTTGCTTTTTTATGAGAAAGATTTGGTTAAAATTGTAACAGCTTTATCCTTTGTACCAGAAGTTTTACGTTGTATAAATACAATCGAAACAGAAAAGTAGACTTTCAGAAAATAAAATTTTTGGATATCGGTTGTAATTGAGCTAATCATATTTTTAGCATAAAAACTGGTGTAGCACAAAACAAGAGCAATTTTTGCGTACAAATCCTAATTATCTCTCGAAAATGTGATAGGATCAATCGCTCGAATGGAAGTTTTATGAATAAAAGCTACTTTATACCTAAACTCTATAGTGATATCAAGACCTACTAATAAGAATATTTTGAAAACTTGCCTGAAATACGACACGAGATTTCTCCAAAAGATAGGTGCTGACAATGGCCTGCATGAAATTAGTCGCGGATTTCTGGCCTCGGCCACCAGACATAGGGAACATCCTGTTGGCACTGATGTCGATGCGCAAAAATTTACCAAAACGACTGCTGTTATCATTACGTAACGTCTTGGCATTACCAATTGCCTCAAAAAGAGGGCTTATTGCAGGTACGCGATTTTCCAAATTCATGTCATCCACCAGCCCAGTTTTGCCGCCTTGATAGGCTGAATAGTTTGAGATTTGATTCACCGCAGATGAATTGAAGGAAGCATTTGGCTTTAAGAGATGATTATCGCTGGCGTGCTTTCCAGATTTTGATAGTCTAGGAAGACGATTATAGGACTTGATCGCCAAGAATCGTAGAATATGTCTAGCAGATAGAGTTTTACCAGCACCAGACTCGCCAGAGATAATTATAGACTGGCTTTGGCCTTGACTGACAAATGATACAAATAATGTAAAAAACGAAACTTGGCAGTAATAATCGTTGAACTCACTTCCATTTCGAGTAAAGGTTTTTGGTGAATAATCTTTATTAACCAAATAACTATGCACTATCGAAATATCAATTGAAATATTTGGCAAAAAAAATGTAGACGATACTTTAAAAGTAGATAATGTTCAAGATAAGTTAAAATAATACAAGTGGTCTGACGTATTTTTCGAAAATTCGTGGTGTTGTCAGGGCTACCAAGTTGAATGCATCCTGTTCTCCCCAATAGTGGTTATGCTAAGTCCCAGCGACGGGTCGTGGACTCGGTACATTCTCAGACGTTTCGCCGGCATCGCAGTCAGCATCGCCTTTAGGGAAAGCAAGGCTATGGGAAATTCAATGGAAACGTCAGCTCTACTCATATGATTGTGGGAAAATTCATCATCACCTTAAATGAAAAAACCCCATATAACTCTGCTTATAAACCAAAAATACGTCCAACAAAGTCACCTTGACAGCACGACCAAGTTGCGAAAGCGAGGTCAGACCATTTCAGACAGAGGTCGCAACAGCTTGGTGTTCATATTTACTATTAGAATTATGCAAGTTAAGAGTTGATATTAAAATTGAACATCTGGAAAAATTGGCCTGACGAGGACCCACAAATCAATAAAGAGTATACCAATAAGCAAGATAAATCAGAAGAAAATGTCATGCTGAAGAATGACTTTAAGAAAAAAGCATTTTGTTTTGAATCAATTTAGATAATTAGGTGATCTCTAAAAAGGCCGACAACTCTACATTATGATATTAGAGCATAAAACACAATAATAAGTACAAATAGTTAACAGCAAAATCAAAACACAAAATCAAAGAAAAGGTTTGATTTTTCTTCTGCGTTTAAAGTCGCCCTAAATCTTAGATATATTTTTCAAGCCTTGACTTCGGCAAACTTGGGGTGTTGAAGACATCGAGACCAACATGTGAATAGAGCCAAACAACCTATTCCCAGTTTTGATAAAATGATGAACAAAATAACAGTACAAACGCATGCGCTTAGTAGAACATGATACTGCCCATGAAATTGTAAAAACCTACAGTCTTAGTAACTATGGTTTATATCAGTTTAGAATTAAGCACACTTCTGACCGTCCTATATGCGAGAAATTTAAAATGGGCCAGAGATGGGCAGATGGGCTAGGATTTGTATGCCAACCCACAAACGTTGTAATTCAACATTAAACCTAATCAAAACCAGCAGTACCACAATATTTGTGGGTTGGCAGACAAGCGACTAGGACATGGCAAGTCATAGACTTGGTATTAGGGATAGAGACAGGATAGACGAGGCAAGAGGGAGACTTTGATATGACCCAGGGAAGGACTATGTAACAATATGATAGTCTCTGGTCCACATTCCTAGCACAAGGGTGAAGGGGGTGATAACGATAGTGTGGAGTGTGAAGGGGAGATACTGCAACTGCTTAGCACATGTTTGGTCAAAGGATGGGCTTTATTTGTCTCTTTGACGAGTTGTAATATGGTGCTACGAATGTCGAGATTCACTGACGGTGCGTGCGAAAAGTCTGGTAATGTACCACGTCCACGGTCCTACTCTGGAAATGATCATGCATACAATGGACTCCG